CCGCCCTGGCCTCTGCCACCGATCTCGGCGTGAGCGAGACGATGCTGGAGGGGTGGCGCAAGTGGGGCGGCGGCGACCTAGAGCCGGTCCTCACGAGCGGCGCCGCCGCCCTCCTCGACGCGCAGTGGATCATCCGCCACGCCGAGGCGGGCGGCGTCCTCGCCCACCGCCAGGCGCTGCCCAAAGAGGCCTTCGTCTCCCTCGCCGACCTCGTCGAGGCGACCACCGAGTATGGCAGCCTTCCCGTCGCCGCGCTCTCCTACCCGTGGCTGACCAAGGACCACCCCGACCCGCGCGGAGCCAACCTCTCCCGCGTCGCAAGGGCACTCAAGGCCCTGCTCAGCGACCATCCCTCGCTCGGCAAACCCCTCATCCCGCGGCTCGGCGTGTTTTGGGACTTCGGCTCGCTGCACCAGCACCCCGACCCCGCCAACGGCGTCATGCGCACCGAGGAGCAGAACGCGCTCTTCAAGCAGGGGCTGAGCTGCCTCGGCACGCTCTACTCCCACCAGCACACTTGGGTGCTGCGGCTGACCTCCTTCCCGGACGGCCACAAGGCGGAGGACCAGGCCGAAGGCACCAACGTGGCCAAGTACTTTGACCGCGGCTGGTGCTACACCGAGGCCAGCTGGGCGGGCCTGACAAAGGCTGGCTACCTCTCGCTGGACCTCGGCAAGATGCGCGCCGGCGTGGAGTACGGCCTCAACAGCCTCCTCGGCGACTGCACCCAGGACGGCGGCCGGCGCCCTCCGCTGCTGCCGTCTGCGTTCGCGGCGGAGCTGGAGACGAAGAGCTTCACCAACGGCAAGGACGACAAGCCGCTGGTGAAGCGGCTGTACGAGGCCGCCTTCAAGGAGCAGTTTGGCAAGGCGACCGAACTGAAATACGACGGCCTCGGCTGGGGCGACGCGGAGGCGGCGCAGCTGGCGGAGGTCCTCGCGAGCGGGGCAGCGCCGCGGCTCGAGTGGCTCAATCTCCGCGGCAACAAGATTAGCGACGAGGGCTGCAAGGCGCTGGCCGCCACCCTCAAGGAGGGGGCCGCCCCGAGCCTGAAGGCGCGAGACGCCCCCCTCGCCACACGCCCCTCCCCCGCCCAATGCTGATCGCACCTCCCCTCGCGTGCAGACGCTCTGGGTGGGCAACAAGCAGCCTGAGCTGGTGGCCGTATGCGAGGAGCGAGGCATCGACCTCTGCTGAGCCTCTCCAGCCCCGGCCGGGCGGCAAGGGCGCGGGTTCCTGCGGGACCGCCGCGCGAGCACGGCAGAGAGCAGCAGACCCTGCGGCTGCGGAGCACGACGTACAGGGGTGCCGGGCGCGCGCGGGTGCGGGTTTGGTGGGCGGGCGGGCGGGTGGGTGTTGTGAGGAGGAGGAGGAGGAGAGGGGGGGGGGCGGGGGGGCGGGTGGGTTTGAGCGGCGAGGGTGGAGGGGGGGGGAAGGGGGAAGGGGGTTTTTGGGCATGGCGGGGGAGCGGTGCAAGGTAACCCCTCGCGTGCAGTTGCTCATGGTGGACAACAAGAACTTGACGCAGCCTGAGTTGGTGGCTGTTTGCGAGGAGCGCGGCATCGACCTCGAATGAGCCTCTCCAGCCCCGGCCGGGCGGCAAGGGCGCGGGGCCCGGCGGGATGGCCGCACGAGCATGACAGAGAGCAACAGCCCTTGCGGCTGCGAAGCATGACGTACAGCGAGAGGTGACGGTGGGGGCGCGCGCGGGTTTGGCGGGATGGGGGATGGGGCTTGGGGGGGTGGGGGGTTCTGTCGGCGCACGTAAGGTAAGGTAAGGTAAACTTCTCCACACACACGAGGTGGTGGGGCAGGGGGGGGCGACCCTCGCGTCTCCACGTCTAACGACAGGAGCCCCACGGCATTAAAGGTGCAAGGCTCAGTGCGCGTGGGTAAGGTAAGGTAAGGTAAACTTCTCCACACACACGAGGTGGTGGGGCAAGGGGGGGCAACCCTCGCGTCTCCACGTCTGACGACAGGAGCCCCACGGCATTCAAAGTGCAAGGCCCAGTGCGCGTGGGTGAGCGGTGTGTGTGTGTGTGTGTGTGTGTGTGTGTGTGCGTGTGGGGTAAGTGAGGGGGGGGTCACGTCACTGCATCCTCTGCACCGGTTCCTTGAATCCTTCCGTCGCCTCTTCTTTGTTCGAATGTTTTTCAATCCATCCTTCACGAAGCCCTCCCATGTAGCTAGCGTTCTTTGCGAATGTCTCGAAATGGCCAGCAGGCGCTGTCTGCTCGCGACCTGTGCGGGCTGCTCGTCCTCCTCGCCCTAGCTTCTTTCGTCCTCCCGTCCCTCCCCTCCACACCATGGCCTCCGCTCGGCACTTCTTTCTCCATCCGCCTCGCCCTGCCTTTTCGTATCGTGCCGTTCGCCCTCTTCGGCGCACGTGGGACAGGAGCGCGCCGCGGCGGGCGAGAGGGCGGGCCTGCGTCTCCAGAGTCTCCAGACACCGGGACGCGGTCCAGGGAGGGTTGCTAGCGCCCCCTTCATCGAGGCGCCGAGGCCGCGGGGGAGGGCGGTTCGTGAGTCGAGACTCGAGCGTAAGAAACGGTCCGCACACGCCCCAGTGTGGCGGTCGCCCCTCAGGCTGTAGAGTGAATGGGGTACCATAGTTGCGCGAGTTGCGACAGGGGGAACAGCAGGGACTGTGCACACAGCAAGAAAGTTGTCGCAAAATAAACATGCGCGTGCCGCCACGCGATGCGACACGAATTGCGAGCGCGGTCGCCCGGCCCGCCCTCTCGCTCTCGCTCTCCCTTGCCATCGATAAGCCCTGGATAGCATGGGACAGCAGACAGCGTCGCTCTACGAGCGCTTCACCTGTCGCCCGCGATCAGATCAGGTAGGTGCCCTGCCCTTCCGTCTCCTCCTCCTCCTCCTTCTCCTCCTCCCCTTTGTCTGCCGACCCTCCTCCAAAGTGGGAAGCCTCGGCGCCGCGCGCAAGCAGAGCAACCCGAGACAGCCGGCCGCTGCGCCGCCCCGCCTAATTAACAACGAGCGCTGATGAACTAACTGCGAAGTACTTGGACGGTTATTGTTCCGTCCTGGCGGCACCGACGCATCGGCTGCCGCTGGGGCGATGGCCGCGGGGAGGGCAAAGCGAGGCGGCGGCGGCGGCGGCGGCGGCGG